TTTTCGGCAATTGTCAATTAATAATTCATGTGCGTAGTACACACATGCCATGGACACGCCCCCACCTCCTGCCCACCTGCCGCCCAGTTCAAATAGTTAGTTTGGTTTTTCATTTGCGGTTTCGTTTGTTCATTTGCGGCAACTCGGAAAATTGACCACGCAATTCGGAAAAACATTTCGAGCTTCACACGATCGATATGTGCGGCTATTAAATTATCTTTTGATGGGTGGGCGTGCCCAAAAGTGGGCGGCAAGCATTGGTCAAGTGCAAAGGCATATGTATAGCTATAGACCGCAATGCGCAATATCACGAACGCGTACCGTGCGTGGCCTGATGGGGATCCGGATCAAAATCTGAATCTGCCCATGCGTGGATATGCCGTCAATTGTCTGTCAGCCGACAAAGGCCCGAAAGAGCCAATGTTGCTGGTATTAGCTGGTATTAGACCCTGGTCGAGGAGCAGGCCCTGGTATTATTTGATTTGGACTAGCAAAAAGTGGCGACCGAAAACAAGGACTCGGCAGTTCGTTGTGTACACAGTCTCTCCCATCAGCCTGTCGCTGTTTGCGCTTCATTCATTATGCAACACTGGCCAGGCAATTTGTTAAGTACACCCCAAGAAAGAACCGCGCCAAAACGCATAATTTGTGTGAGCCTCATAGCTAACTAGATGTCCATTCCGTAACCATTACCCCAATAGACTGCCTTTTATTTTTAACAGCCGAACATCGCGCCCCAATACGTCATTGTTATCCTTCAATCTAATTGCCAACGCAGCTGAAAATCCAGTTGACATTTGACGAGCTAAAGGTCTCAAAAATAACCATTTTATATTTAGATACGGCTTTTCATATAATCAGAGTTTAATGCTGAGAATTTCTAGGCACTCGACTCAATCGACAGGTGCGTGTCTCAGAGCAACCTTCTCTCCACGCGAGTAATTCGAATGCCAAATGCTCTTCAATGCGTAAGAGGTGCGTTAAGAATTTTTGGATTAACTGAAGTTCTCGAAACAAGAATTTTGTTCTTAGGATAAGAAATTTCAAGCATGATTTGAGCCCTTCCAGCGCTTAACACTTTTATCCCTGGGTATTTCAGCGATGTGTGTGTCCTCGATGTGTGCGCACATGTGGAGCATTAATAATATAAATTGTGTGGCTATTACGTGGAAGAGCGGAAGGGGTACTAATAACACAATGACCTTTATTATGCGAAATGGAAATGAACGGCATGTGTCCAGTTTGTTCCACATCGTATCTTATGCAAGGGACCGACCGCCCAATCGACATTAGGTTGATAAGCGCGCAAATTTCAAGCGCATTGTTCAGAAATTTGAATGACCGCAATCTTACCGATAAATCTAACGCTTACAACATTGTAAGTATGTTTTTGTTCCTTTTTATAGCTACACGTATGTATTGACCAATACGAAGCTAATCGTTTTGACTGCGTCACGGGCGTTAGAAGGGGGCACGAGGGAAAAGTGCTTAGATGGCCTCCATGTGCTCTATTTTTTGGCAGCGGCAAACTAATTATGTGGGGGTGGGGGGGAGACAATGCGAGGCCTCGACACTGTCTGGCCATGAATTTTTCATCGTACACGTATGCCAAAGTCATGCAACAAAAATTTATCGAGCGGAAGCATACATATGGCATATAATATATTTATCAATATATATATTATAGATCGGGAGTACAGACACGTGTAGAAAAGTTTTACGTTGCCCGTTTCTTCTTTTAGTGTGAGAAGTAATAGCCCGGTGAGAGTTTTGTAAAGTTGAAGCTCATCAAAATTGTGTGGCATAATTCCCAGAAAATGGGCCATGAAAGTCTCCACCTGACTCTTGACCATATGGCCATGGCTCCATTTTGCCTCCTCTTTCAGTCCAATAATTCGCATGCCCAAATTCAAATTGTATCAACATAATTGGTATTTATTGAAAATGTGTTTTTGGTTAACCCATTGTCGACTATAACTGCCTCGATTTCAACCCCGTTTCATATCTGCCTCGGCTGTTCGATGCGTTGAAAATTGACTTTTTAACAGTGGCAAGGGGCCACCGAGAGGGCAGAGTTCACGGGCCAGCGAAGGGCCAGCGGACAGGGGGGGGGGGGGGTCCGATGTGCTGTGCGTGTGTGGATTTTGTCTGTGTTTATCGCTTTTCATTTGCATTTATTGCCATTTTTATATGACCGAATATCATCTTTGGCAATTGGAAGTGTTTAGCGCAAATTTGTTTTCAATATTTGTGCACCCAATAAACCCGAAATGGAGTTCCATGGATTTGGTGCGGTCAGTTTAGGCCTTTACGGGCTGGGCTACCAATTTGATTGCAAATAATTTGAAGGGTTTTTGTTCATTTCTTTTATGCGAAATGCGTGCAGCGAATACACGAGTTGTCCTCAGCATGACTTTCAATTGGAAATGGAAATCGAAATCAAAATATGTATATGTTAGATAGAGTGGGCCTCCTAATGAACCTCAGGCCTAATTATGTGCCAGCGAGGCAGTTAATTACGCTTTTTCAATATTTGTTGAGGAGACGTTTGCGACCGACCACTTCAAATCAAATATTCCACATATAGCTCCTTAGACCGCTTTCACTGTCAATCAAAGGCACGTTCCGTGGCTCCTAATGATAATTTCTTAAGCGGTTGACCAATACAAAACACCATTAAAATATGGTCTAGTAATTCTGACGTCTAGTCTAGTCTGACGATGGCAGGAGTGGACTGGACTGAATAGACTTTTCGATCCGATCATGATGGGGGCCAATTTACCTGTGCAGCTTACTGTTGGGGAAATGGCCGTATAACAGTTAGTGAGTCAAGCTGTTCGGGCGCATGCGTTGGGCTTTGCGGGAGCGCAAATTTCCAATGCGACTGCCAATTTGGGGGCTATTCGGGAGCGTTTGTTTACAAACAAATGCAAAGAGCGCGGGAGCACTCACTCACTCACTCGTCGCTGCTCACTGCTGCACTATTGTGGCATGCAAATGCTTGCCAATACTTGCCTCTTGCTGCCACCACTTGTTGCTGCTGCGAGCACCATGGTGCATGTGGCAATTACTTAGTCTCGTGGGTGGAGGGAAAAAATACAAAAAAAAAAAATAGAAAGCAAAAAAAAGACGATTGCTCAGACAGACATGCAAATTGCCGTTTCACGAAACAGAAATAAGCGTACCGTCCTGCTACGCCCACAACACAGTGCCCGTTTTGGCCAGCTTTGCGTTTCAGCCATGACATGTTGCACTGGAGCCGCTTAACATTCTTTTTCGCTTTGCCAATGAAGGGCCCTTTCCCCTTCCACGCAACTCCCCATCATTGGGCTTTTGTTTTATAACATTTTAGCGCAAATTGCCATCAAATTTAATTGGCAATGTCGCGACAATGTCCGAGTCGAAAATTGCAGGGCTACGTTTTGATTTTTTGCACTGATTTCATCTGCCCCAGGGAATGGGAATGGGAATGGGCCTTGTTCTCGAATCGACTTTGTTATAATGTTTTCTTGTATATTATATCTTTGCAGTTCCTCTAATAAATGCTTTAAGGAAGTCAAGGATTGAAACGCTGAGTAAGTACAAGCCTATTATACTTTTATTATAGCTAAAGAAAATATTATTATTATTATAAGTATGGAAAAGCATATTTATATAGCACAGGCATCTATGGCCTTCGGCTAAGACTCGAATCTGAGACTAGGGGGAATCATCTACCGAGGGCTTCCTTTTATTATTTTATTATATTCAATTGGACCTATGGTTGGTGAGTTCTATGGAACTTTATCCATAGGAATTGTCTATTGTGCCATGGGGTTGAGTTAATAACACAGGCGAAATACTTGAAAACTTGATGCAATAGTCGGCCACAACTTTGGTGGCTTTTAGAAATTTTATCCTGACCTCACCGACATGCAATATGCAGGAGTTTGGAAAACAATAACAAAAACGAAATATTCGCAAGAGGATATTTCCACGCGCATTTAAAAATTCATGAGCAGAAAGCACTCAGCGCGGTCGCTTATCGTGTCCGTGGTCTTGTCCACGGGGTGGACATATGCCCGGAGCCATATTTGGGAGGCGTGGGTTGGTTGGTTAGCCTGGTCTATTGGTGTGGTCAGTGGCATTGCAATTCTTAGCAGGCTTGACCGACACACACACAAACAGACTTACTGACTGACTGACAGGGGGCCCACTAGCTGATGGATTGACCGCAGGCAAGGGTGCAGAATTTCAACGCCTCGCATTTGAAGTTTTATCGGGCATGGAACGCTTTATATCTAAACTATGAATCAATGCATTAGTCAGTCACCTTGTACGCTCCACTTTAATTACGGTTTTTTATGCTACCCCCTTGCCACCGCTCGCTGCGCTCTGTGCTCTTTTTAATCGTTTGCTGACATTTTTTTGCATGTTGCGGCCACAATTTAAAAATTGCATAGAACAGGAAAAGCAAAAGGTAGCTGGCCAAGTGAAATTCCTGCCATGGAACGTAATATTATTAGCAGGCGCCCCCCAAGCCCCCTCGCCAGCACCTCCCCGCTTCGGTGAGCTGTATAAATATTGCATTACAATAATTTGCCTCGTTGCGGGTCGCGAGTTGTCGCCGGAGAAATTGCGAATTGGATTTCATGTTAATGCAATGTCCTTATCGCTGAACATGTCCTGCATGGGGGGAACTCCCAATGGGTTCATTTGTTTTCTATTTGCCTGCTTTTTGTTGTTGTTAATTGCGATGATGTGGCGTAGTTCATGCCAGAGGTCAGTTCTTTTGTTATTTTTTGCCAACAATTTGGCGTCTGTTTTGCCCAATGAATTACTGATTTATATCGCCAGCAGCGCGTGCATTCATTGAATATTCAAACACTTTGGCTTACTTTTGATATGAATATCAACTTGGAAAGTGTGTACATTAAAGTTTTCTTTTTATTTTTATTTGAATGCAATTGTGGTTTACAAATATGTAATGAATACATTTATATATTATATATTTATATAATTTTTTCTCTTTTAACTTTGCGTTTGCACATTCAATATACTTTAATTGTGCTTTGTAATGCACTCTGTTAGACATACATAATAATAATAAAAGGTAGTTATAAACAACAGTTTTGTAATTAAAAAATAAAAAAAATATTGTAAACATATTGTATTGGCTTGAATTTCTTCAAAAACGTTATGGATAGCTCTGTAGAAAATATTGAATTCTTCATATTTAGCCATGTGGCCTTCTTCTTCAGTATGTCCGTCTCTATAAACTTAAGTATGTAGGTAGTATAAAAGGTGTACTGGATGTGCTGTGTACTTTGATTTGTTGTTGATTGTATGTTGTATGTTGGTGGTGCGCGGTCTGTGTGTGGGTGAACTGTGGTCTCAAGCTGTGTGGCTTTTACTTCGTAATTGTTTAAATATAATTATTAAATCTACTGCGTTTGCTGTTGAATTTCAATCTTCTCGACTGTCATGTCTGGATTCATAGCCGTCGCTTCCTGCAAAAACAAATTTTACAACAGTTTGAATATCCTGTACTTTTGTTTAGACTGTTGTCTCAACTCACTTGTATTGCCTCAGCCAAGGCTTTATCATGATCAATTGGGTCGCCATCGGATTGAATGGTTATTTTCTGCTCCACACGGGTCTCAACAATGCCATCGCGTTCGGTTTTGTACTGTTTGGCAAATGAGAATATAGATGAGTAATGCTTTCCAAACTCGGTTAAAAACTGTCTTTGATCTAATTCTCTTAAGTCGCAAATAAATTTGCCTAACAAAGGCCATCTTAAAACTGATTCTGAGGTGGTTGATGGCCCTTAATCGATTTCAAGCTGAAATAACTTTGCCAAAAGTCGACTAGCTTGCCTGTAGATTATTTCTACGTCCAAGATGTTTAAATGACTTATATATTTGTTGTTGTAAGATTTTATACAATGCACACCATATTACCAATTGGGACAAGAGACCAATGTATAAAATGTACAGTGGGGCGCATACGAATACAGGAAATTAATGTTTGGTAAAGTCAAATAAAATCCTACCTCCGAATACTTACTTACGCTTGTTCAATATCGCATTGCGTGCATGTGTGTGGGGATAACTTACGGTAATCGTTTCCACGGTGCGGGTTTTACTGCTCACGGTTTGCGTAGAGATGATCTCGCCATGTCCTGAGTAGCCAGGCGTATCCTCGCCGAGCACCACTCTGGTGCTTTCAACGTGTGGGCCAGTGGATGTGGTTGCAGAGCTTGCATAGAGCGGAGATTTCTGTGGGATAAGAGTCAAATGTTAAGACATTGGTGAAACAAAATACAGCTCTTTAAATATAAACAATCATTAGCTCCAAAGGATTGTTAAACTTTCAATTGTGTCTACTACAAACCTGGTTGTCAGTGCGTACCACGCTGGAACCATCATATGGCCCATCGATGGGTGTGCCAGAGTCACCTGAGCTGGTCGACGACACACTGTCGCGTCTCTGATACTTAATGGGAGCAACATTTACAACAACAACGGCAATGCAACAAATGAAATACAATCAAAAGTGAAATTAAAAGTCAGAACAAATCAGTTCATGCAAGTCAAAAAGTACAGCCATGCGAGCCCTTCGTGGAATCGATTTCTTACCTGATCGCCACTCATAACCGTTGCAGTCGTCTTCACCTCTTGGGTGACAACGCGCTGCTGCTGATTGTTCGGATCTAAGGTGCGGGTGGTGGCAACGGTCTTCTCCTCAAGCTGTTCCGTCTTGGCGTTCTTGCCCAGATCTTCGTGGGTGGTGGCTGTGCGGGTGGTGACTGCGGTGGCCGTGACATAGGCGCCACTTAGATCGGTAGGTGTTGCATCAGCCTAGGTAATTGGTTACGTGATTGTTGGTGAGGTTAGTGCGTAATCAATAACAACATTTAACGTCAGCAACGAGAACAGCAAAAGCGATTAGCAAAAAAGGCACAGGAAAAACTCAAATTAATCGAGGCAAAATTAAGGCATTCACAGAAAGCAAGCAGCGCGAGAGCTTTTTTGCCCAAAACGTATTAAATTTCACAACTGGTGCTAACCTTGTGCTCCTGTGTCGAGTAGGTCACCTCGCCGGTGCCCAGATTGCGCACCTCCTCCTCTACGTTGTGTGTGACACCGCCATCGTTCTTGGTCAGCACCTGTTTCGTTGTCGTCTTCACCACAGTGGGTGTGCTCACTGGTTTGCCCAGCTTGCTGCCGGCGCCAGATTGGTTCGACGTGCTTAGCACAATATCCTGGACATTATCACTGCCGTACTGTTGGGTCATGTCGTCGTCCGAGCTGCCCTCAGAGTCGCGACGTAGCGCACCCTTGCCAATGTGCTTGACACCGTCAAAGAACTGCTGTCGAGTGATGGGCACCGTCTCTGTGGTTGTTTGCACCTGGGCCTGTTTGCCGAAGTGCGAGGGATCGATCTGTGCGTAGTTGAGAATCAGCTTGCCCGTAACTGGATCAGTGACAGCTGTCGCCGGATCTATGTCACCCGTGTTCGGATCGATATCGCCATACTCGCTCTTGATGCGGCCTGTCACGGGATCAATTTCGCCAGTCAGGGTCATCGTGTGGGTAACTGTGGTGCGTGCCCCAGCGAACCGAGGATCATTGGGATCGACCTGTACAATTTCACCAGTTACCGGATCAATCATATTATAAACATACACGGTTTTGTTGAAGAACTTAAGAACACGACCAGACACGGGATCGATTTCGCAGGTCTCTGGATCGATTTCCTCTGGGCGACCACGTTCGTCTGTTTTCGAAATGAGCAAAATGCGTACGATAATGATCTTGCCCGTCTTTGGATCAACGCGCGCTAGCTTGGTATAAACCTCGCCAGACTCGGGATCCACCTGAGTGGCGGCATAAAGCGGTTCACCGGTGGCCTTGTCCACTTCGCCGGTAGCGGTGTAGATCTTGCCAGACGAGGGCTCGATCTTAATGGTGTTCGGGTCAAGCTTGGTCTGTTTCTTGATCTCGTGGGTCTTGGGATCGAGGTAGCCGTAGATGGTAATGACGTAGCCAGTTTTCGGATCGACGCTGCTGGAAATGTACTGCTGTTCCTTGGTGCTGGGATCACTGGCACCCGTCGGCACCCAGATCTGGTTCGATTTGGGATCAACAATAATGTCCTTGTCCTTGGCGGCGCTGACCTGTGAGATTGGTGCCTTTGTCGCTGGATCCACGCGCTGTTGGACGATTCGTAGCGAAATGATGCGTGCGTAATCCTTGTCTGGCTTGTTGTTTTTCGGATTGATCTGGTTCTTCAGCACAATCTGTCCGGTGGCTGGCTCGATTTTGATGTCGCGTGTTACCGTCTTGCCCGACTTGGGGTCGGTGAAGGTAATTGTGTGCTTGACCAAATCGATTTGGCCGTACTTTGTGTCGATCTTGCCCGCCTTTGGGTCGAACTGGCCGCCAGATGTTTCCACCTGAGCTGTTTTGGGATCGATAATGTTCTTCTTCGAATCGAATTTGCCAGCCAGGGATGTAACTTCGACAATTGGATCAATTTGCTGGCCGACCTCAATGATGCGGCCCTGGTTAGGATCTATCTTATTCGTTTTTGGATCGATTACGCCCAGTATGGTGATTTGGCCAGTGCCAGGATCAACCTTGACATTCTTGGTAACCACAATCTTTCCAGTTTTCGGATCGATGGCCTTAAGCTCGCCGGTGCGTGTGTTTATCTCACCATACTTTGTATCCAACAAGCCCGAGTCCAAGTTCAAGACACCCAGCGAGCGCTCGACCTCGCCGTTGACAGTATCTATCTTGCCCGTCGCGGGATTAATGCGGCTTGTAATGACGGTCAGTTCAACAACTGGATTGTCCTGTGGCGTTATGCACACAATCTGGCCCAAAGTCTCATCGATACGTCCTGTTTTGGGATCTGAGACGCCTGAAACCAAATGAAGGTTGCCCGTCTTTGGATCCAAATCGCCCTGGTACAATTCTTTTTTGCCCGTCTTAGTATTCAGCGCCTCCAAAGTGCCAGTCTTGGGATCAATTACGCCGTACTTGGTATCAATGCGACCCGTCGCTGGGTCGAGGATGCCTGTCGAGTGCTCGATAGTGCCATTTTCGGCATCAATGCGCTTGGTCGCAGGATCGAATTTCGAGGTGATGACCATAATCTTAACACGCTTCTTCTTGGGCTTAGCAGCAGCGGCAGCGGCAGCTGCGGCAGCGCCAGCTGCACCAGCAGCTGCGCCGGCAGCTGCTCCAGGAACCGCACTCGCACGAGATCCAGCTCCAGCTGAAGCTTTTGTGGGCGAACCAGGCTTTGCACCAGCAGCACCAGCTGCAACGCCCACATAACCAGGTTCCTTATTGTAACGTTGTGATTCGAGGAACTCGGCCGTGGGATCAATAATTGGCTTGTAGCTGCCGGGCGCACCCGAGGCATAGCCCTGCTGGAACTGCTGACCCTTAGTGGGTGAGTACGAGCGCTTCTGGCCATCGCTAAGCGGCACTGCCGCGGCGTCCACAGCGCTGCCCTGCAGCTTGGCACGCGTCGTGGGCGACAGGTTGCCATCCTGCAGCAGTTTGGCTCTCGACTTGGGCGACAGCTGACCGCGGTTAATCTTGTCCTGGGTGCGGGGCGACAATTGACCGGACTTGATTTTCTCGGCGGTCTCCTTCAGAGCATTTTCATTGCCTGGCGCATAGTTAAAGGCCAGCCCGATTTTCTTTTGCTGCGATGTTGGCGAGAGCTGCTCTTGACCATCGGCACCTAGCTGCTTGCCACTATTTGGATCCTGGTCGTAGCGGAAGCCGCCGGGCGTGTACGATTTACGTGTGGGGCTACTGGCTTTGCCATCAGCATCTACGGCATACTCATATGGACGGGTAACGCCGGGCGTTGTAGAGCCGCGCTTTTTGTCACCATCTCTATTGGCATCGCTTTGCTCTTGCTCACCCAGACCAGAGGTAACTACCAAACCAAGACGGCCCATTTCTTTATCCTTGTCCTTGCCGGACTTGTCCTTGCCATCCTTTGACGGTGAACCGCTCTTGCTCTTGCGACCCGACGAGAATATACCAACACCCTGTTCCCCGTTTCAGGCAGCGCAATATCACGGATCGTCAATAAATCAAAAGTTGAAACATAAAACGAAACGATTGGAGGGGGAATACAAAATTAAAATTGATGGAACTTATAAGAAAATTGGATTAACTACTAAAATACAAACTAACATTACTTAGGAGCTGAACTTAGGTGTGGTTGGGCTTGGGATGGGACTTATTTCGGTTGTATATACACGAGCGCGGGCGCAAACAGTGCGAAAAGGTCTTACGCAGGGAATTATCATAAGAGCTTAATGCTAAATGCTTATCAAATCGTTATATCTAAAATAACTTTATAATTAAAGTTTTTTCATTACACTTACACGTCTGCCAGATGTATCCGATTTTTTAGAATCGTTAAGCTCGTCATTTCCTGTTGAGCAAATCGTTTAGATAAATATATCTGTATGCATGTATTTGGGCTCACTAATTACCATTGACTCCAGCTGCGGCGGCGGCTGCGGCGGCAGCAGCTGCTTTAGCCGCCTTCTCGGCCCTTTCTCTTTCTTTTTGCTCTCGCTTTTCCTGCTCCTTGCGCTCCTTTTCTTCCTTTTCCTTTAGCTTCTTTTCGCGTAACTTTGCCTCCTTCTCATCATCCTGCGAGACAAAACACACGACGTTTAAAATATGACTTTGCGCAGTTTTATAAAATACAATAAAGACAACGGATTTTGGTTGAAAAGCTTACGAAAACATGCAACAAAAACAACCGATTTAAAGATAAGATCAAGCGCCAAAAATGTTAATGTATTATATGTATGTACAACTTGGCCAATGGTAATGGAATTATTATACAATTAATGCAGTGATATAGAGCGCAAATGAGGTAGACATTGAGAACTCAAATAGAACTAAACAGATCAAATTTAGATTGGATATGTACATATATCCAATATATATAAATCAGGATAGTATAGTTGTATGCAAATGTTAATCAGACGAAACGGTTTTAATCTAGAGTAGAGAAGATATGAGGGCTGAGTAGTTGTTTTTTGCTTTATACAAAATTTACCATAAGTAGGAAGTCCGCGTTCATAGGCTTCCAGAGTTAAGGAAAAGGCAATTATGTAATCAAAATAAAATTTGCATTAAAAAAAAATTAGTAGGTAAATAATAAAATAGTATAGATATATAAAATAGTATAAGTTAAATTGCTTTCATATCGTACTATGCGCAGTTCGGAATTGAATATAAAGAATTTAATCTATGGATAAGCTCACAACGATCAAAAAAGCAGAATTTAAGCCAAAGAAATAAAATCTGGAGTAAAGTGGTTAGGAATAAAGGAATCGAATTCTTGATACGATTATTTAGAACAGTTTTTAAACAGTAACCTGAGCGAGAGACGAAAAATCGGCAACAGCGGACGCTGCCTCGGCAGCGATGTGGGTCTCATAGTCTCCCTCGAGTGAGCTCTGCGAGGAGGCTGAAGCTGTACCGGTGCTCGATTCACGGATTAACTGGTTAATTGGTTAATTAATTATAAGGGTTAATGTCAGGACAAGTTTGTTTGTTAGGAACGGCAAGATTGGATTCGATTCGAGCAACGAGCAGCAGGACAACGGGCACGTTATGTCATTGACAATGGGGCACACGATAGTTGTGTGTGTGTGTGTGCGCCAAATTGTGCATGTGTTTTGGTTTGTGAGTGAGAGTTAGTAACAAACCGAGAAAAAAGTAAAGTAAACAGAATATCTGGTTAACACTCCCATAAATCGTTAAACATATTCAGCTCAAGTCAATAACAACGCTGACGGTCGGTCTGGCAGGCTCAACAGCTAAGCCGGCTAGTTACCTTGTCCTTTTTGTTCTTAATGGGGCTACGGGCATGTGTCGGATCTGTGTCCATACTTCGATCTCCACGATGGTCCAAGGTGTTGCTCTTGCGGGCCACCTTCTCCTTTTCAGCGATAGCCAGTGCTGTGTGTAAAAGATTCTTTATTAGTTTCTGAGCTGTGAGTTTGGATGCTAGATTTAAGGGACTTGCCATCCATGCTGCGAGATGAGAGACGCGCTCCGGATAGTGCCCTGTCGAATTTGGGCGCCGTGCGGTCAACGGGTGTCGCCTTGCTCTCGTAGTGGGTGCGCCCCGAAAACCGGTACTTGGAGCCAAAGCGTGGGAACAGCGTGGACCTAGTGTTCGGCTCTGGTGTCATCAGACGGAAGAAGGTGTGATGCTCCACGCAGGACTTCCACAGCTTCTTGGCGGCACGATGGTTAGCAAGCTTAAAACCGATGGTGGATTCGTATTGCTCGAATTCGCCCGGTCGTATCTTGATGTAGAAATGGTGACGCTTGTACGAGATCTTCAAGATCTTGGGCCAAGCGAAACGGTTAATGCGCAATCTTCAAGAAATGATAGTTTTTTGTTTTTATTTTTATCGATAGAATTTTTGGAGCTACGTACTTATCGCGATAAACCAACAAACCGGACGCACACACACCCAGCATGATATCGACGCCCTCAGAGTCCTTAGCTGGATGCAAGTCTACACCGTACATAGCCAGCTTCTTAGCGTTCTCGAGATAGTGTAGCTCAGCCTCGGCGGGCGATTGACCTCTGTGCGAAAAGATAATGGAACAGTCGTTAAGGCGTTTCGGCATCGATGGGTGATATTTGCTATGCTTACTTGTGAGTCTTATGCAGATCCATGACTTTCTCCTCGAGCTCTGATGTCTGATTGGGTGCAATTTTAAAGTCCTTCAGATAGGCGCGTGTCGGCATTTCCTTGGGATCATAGTCGCCCATCTCCGACTGCACAAGGTACGAGCCGAGTAGAGCGTGCGTGACAAAAGTGCAGGGTAGACGACCTTCTAGGATGTCATTGCGCACTTGCAGGCATAAATGGTAACGCGTGATGTCCTCCTGGAGCTGTGACGGCTCCGGTGGATAGAACTTGACTGCGAACGCAAGCGGCCAAGGATCTGTGCGAAAGAACTTCGCCACGGGCTTCTCTAAATCTAGCCAAACACGCGGATCGGTAGGCGTATCATAGGTCAAGCCAAAGTAGTCCTTCTCAATGATATTGAGACCAGCGCAGATCGAGTTCACCAGATCACGACCCTTGGCTTTACGCTGTGTTCGATAACGTATGGAAAAGAGATTAGATTAAGGCCTCGATTAGACAACGACTACTCACATCAATAGTCACGTCCAGAATGGATCCATCGAGCAGTGTGACGCGTGCCAATGCGGCCTTCGAGAAGGTCGATGAGCTGCTCTTCGGCTTGCTCTTGGTTGGTGTTTCCGGTTCCGCTGGCGCGGATGGTTTAATTTCCGCCGGCATCTTTCCAGACGCTCAGCTACGCAGACAGTTTGCTGAATGCAATCGAGGAGGAGAGAAACGGCGCTGCAAAAGTAATACAATCAATAATGAAGTCAACAATTTGTAGACACGCCAGGAAGAAGGCTGTACAACCGGATGTGCCCACTGCAATCGAGCGAATGCGTGTGGTCTCCGGTCCGCAGAACTGTGTCTGGACTCGCCTGCTGGCGCCAGCGAAGTGGCACAGCGTTAACTCAAACTGCCAGAAGCCCCTTTCAGCCACCCCAAAGGCTTATGATGTCATGCGATGACATTATTCGTACGAGTACTCGCACTTAGATTCGCATTCACATACACACTCATACTTACTTGAAACGAGCTCAATAGTTTCTGCAGCGGATTCTACTTGCTGTGACCGTACTTATTGACGAGCTGTAAATATAAAAGTGTACTATTAAACGCTTAGGCCACTCGAGTTCAGACTGAAATGTAAGTTTAACTAGCGAAAGCCGCAACCTCAACATAATCCCAGGCAAAACCATAAAACCCGATGCTGCTGACCAACAGCCATAAAAGAAGCAACAGTATTTTGAGGCCAGATGTGTGCAAGCTGTAAACTATTTGAAGTCAGGCCGGTTTTAATTAAATAAAAACTTCACGCCCCCACAACCCCCTTTGCCAACCACTGTAGCTTAGAGAAAGTGTGCAGAACTCTCCCTCTATTTGGTATTGTCTTCTTAATCCACTCATATATGTTATAAAGTCAAGGGTTGTTAACTAAGTCGACCGTGACATAAGATCCACAAACTCTATATACATACAAATATCAGGATTGAGTAAGATTGTGCTAATCCGGCGGCGTCATATGGTCGAATTTATTCCCTCTTGAAACCGCAAGTAAAGAGGTTCTATATTTTATTGCACAAAGAATATTTTTTTTTTAAACATTTTAGTTTTCAAGTGTGAATATAGCATGTGGTTTCGTGGTTTAACGCTAACAAATGATGCTCTATTGCTTTATATCGGCACACCACACCCAGCCAACATTCGAGAGAGAGAGAGAGCAAGAGAGAGGAGGAGAGCATTGGGGCAAGTGATCAATTGAATGTTTAATTGATTTTAAATTTGTTGCACTTTTTATTTTCTCGATCTCGCGTCATGATCGCACAAGTTACATGTGAGGCAGAATCTTCCCGACCGATCGCTAGACAGGCTGAACCAGTTTTGATCAAGGCAACTGCACGAGGCACGCGGCAGTCGGTTTATAGCAAAAAACAAAAAAAGCTAAAATAAAAAACTAGATTCGAAAATCCTCTCAAAAACACAAAAATAAAATAAAACGGCGCGTCACAATTTCGCAGTTGGTGGCGTCATCGTGCCTTCTAAAATGTTCCAAATGTTGAGTTGCCAGAAAGCAGCCAGCAGACAAGACAGCCATATAATTTTTATTATAATATCAAGCGGCTTGTGTTTGTGTTTATTTTCATCCATTAAATGCGAGCGGCAACAGTAGCATTCATGTTTTGGGCAATCTGTTCCCACAGTTGACATCATCCATATTAAGTCACCGGGATAATTATTAAGTACGCGCCACCGTACTCCAATTCGCAGCACATGAATAGCATTCCGGGCGATTGACAGTGAAATGTTTCGTGTCTGGGGCCACAATTTACCGATTGATGGATGCGAGATTGGAGCATGAATCACAGAGCGACAGAGAGAGAGAGAGAGAGAGGGAGGGAAGACGAGATTAGCTGCTCGCAAATTGGGCGTTGCAATTTTTATTTTAAGATTGCAATTGCGAATGCTATTAACACATTAATTATAGTATGTTGGGTGCTCTCGAACGCGCCATGATTTATTTTCGTATCGCATTAATGATGACATCATCATCGAGAGGAATTTCCACAAATTATTGAAATTGTTCTATGTTCTCTTGCTGCAACAATATTTTGCGCAATATTTTGCAAGACGCCGTCGACACCCAAAAACAGAAGAATGAACGCTTCAATTGAAGGAGGTCGAGGTGAAATTCATCAAGTAGCTAAAATGCACACACACACGCAGTGTATATACAAACTCACACACACGATCTGCCACGAGCTGGGGCTGGTACGCCGTCTGACGTCTGGGTGTGCTTCTAATCATGGCGATGTTGCCTCACTGTATACCACTGTTTCGGGGCGTGAGCAAAAATGTATCTACATACTTAAACTTATAAAAAGACAAACAAAAGACGTGACCGACTGCGGCAGGCCGAATTGAAAAGTATGTGAACAGTAAAAAACTCAAAACTCCGAATAAGTTGCAAGTTGTTTCAGCATTTGTTTGAAGTATGCAAATTATTTGTGTAACATTTTGATATCAAGCATTGTTCAATCATATTCAAGAACGAAGTGTACTTGAAAATCGTATGAATACTATTCCCAGTCATACTTAAATTAATATCTTTTCTCTGTCATACTGTGAAGTTTAAGTGCGTGGAATGGGAACGGAATGCCAAAGGCTGCCAAAGATTCGCTCGCCTGTGGCACTGGCGGTCAATCCAATTAAGTTGGGTCTGGGCATGGCGAGTGCTTCAGCGAGGCCGCAATTAAGTTTAATTTAATACAACTTAAATCAAATTCAATTTACTCGGACAACAAACAGTTACTCGATGAATATGAATATGAACCTGAGCCCCAACCCCAACCCCAACCTCAACCCGATGGGGTGGCTGCCCTCCCGCGTGCCATATTCCGTCATGGCATTAGGTCATCTGAAGTTTGAGCTGTTGCTGTTGCTGCTGACGTGACGTCAGTTTTAGAAGGTGTGTGTGAGTATTTGCAACTGCTATTCACAACTGCCAGTTCACAATAGACGGGTTCATTCGCTTGGAGCTTTCATATTAAAGCGTGAAATGCACAAAAGTTTTAGCTGCTCACCTGTTTGCAGATCATCGAAGCGTTACGTATAATATGTATTCAAAAAATACAAAAATGTATAGAAAATGAGTAGAAGAGTTGCGGGCGGTGCTCACATCCGTAAATAACCAGGTGTAGCACTCCAGCCAATAACGGCGCGGGCCACTTCCGCATGAAATGCTTTTCGCATTTTTCGAAAATATACAACAAAATGGATGATGATATATAAATTTATGAACTATAGACAAGTCCCACACTCAGATGTTTATACGAGTGTATTTTTGGGTGTGCGTGCGAAAGAAGTTGTTTGCTTCCATCAGACCCAAATATTTAAATAAATGGGTCAATCGATATCGTTGCCTTGGGAGAGTGCATAAGGGGATTCACACACGTATTTTTTCTGCACTAAATCGGAAGTTGGTGCCATGCTTGCGGTTATCGCCAGGGCGTTCTCGCCTACTCGCTTCACAGGAAAAACAGCGACATTTGCTACGATAAGCCAGATCCGCTCCAGTTGCATTCCCAGTTCCAGTCGACGGCCGAGTTGTGAATAGTTTGCACTTGTTGACCAGTGCTAAAAGTGGATCAGCCACTTGGCCACTTGGTGGCTTTTCTACTCATACACTCGGTGCGGGTATGCGTCAGCGGCTTTGCTCGATAGCGCTTGACGAATAGCCGCCCGACATCGAAACATAGCCCCGAACCAAGATTGATTTTGCTGATCGCGTGTACTCTATTAGGAGATACCCTGTACAGTTCTAAACTGCCGTAACATGTTTACTCAATTTACTTCCCCAATGAAGTTGCCGAAAAACAAAACTTGTTCTATATAATATATATATGCCTATTTCTAAATATACTTCGGAAAAGCCTCCTGTTGCAAACACTTGCACTTAAGTAATAAGCCCTTTACAAATTTTCAGTGGCTACGGAGTATAATGAAGCAAATCAATGCGACTCACGCCCTAACATTTTGCTATTTAAAGTATTCAACGCCTCTGGTTTATGTAGCCAACGAACTCGGCGCGGCTGCGATGCAGCCAGAGAGTTATCGAACCCAGACCCACCCACAAATAGACGCCAGCTGGGGCTGGGGTTGGGGCTGGCAAGGCGAGGCGGGGCAATGGTAGTCCCACTAAACCAGTAAACAAACCAAAATACACAGCAGACTCTTTAGCTACATAAATCATAGCGCCCCCCTCGACAACAATAAAAATCGATGCGACAACAAACGAAAATAGAAAATTCAATGCGAAAATGTGTGCGTGCCTGTGTGTGTGTGTGTCTGTGTGTGAGGGGGAAAGCGTTTAGCTTGGGGCAAAAAGCTGTTTTCGATCTGTTGGAAAACACTGACACATTGGGAAGAGTAGAGGGCGGTAACAACTCGAAAATAGCCCAATCTTTGAAATCATGAGGGAGCATCTACACTGATTGATTGATGTATCAATCAACTTGGCTGATGTGGAAACTCTGCGCAATGTGGCAGCGCGCGTTGCAGTGACCCAATATTTTCAAGTTTACGTTACCTACAGTAAAGCCTGACTTTGGCTAAGAGAACCGTTCGCTCTCTTTTGCTCTCTTCTAACGCAGCGACACACCTTGTTCTCCCACTACAACCGCTGCTCTTGGAGCGGTGTAGGAGCGAGAGGAAGGGGGCTAAACTTGCCTCGACTGTGGCTTTTGTTGAATTCAGGTTTTTCATAGTGTTTTTCACGTTTGGGCCCGTGTGCTTGCTTGCGTGTGGTTAAGTCTGTTGGATCTGGCTTTGGCTGGCCACAGTTTATTATAATTTTTTTCGACTCGCAGAGTTTACTCTTTTGTACAGTTATTAGCATTTGCTTTGCTCGTTCCCTTTATTTGTTTGTCTGCTGTGTAGCCAAATTCTTGGCCAAGCAATAACCGGTTTCTAATGCAAGTTCTTTCGTTCTCCCTCCCTCTCTCTCTCTCTCTGTCTTTTGCAGAGACTATTACTTGCATTGGTGAGTAGGCTTTTATTGTTATGTGTTCGTACATGGATGTGGCTAGTTGTACTATTTGGGTCAAATATTCTGTCCCAAATCCAAGCCACGTCCGCGTCTTCTTTTCAAAAGGCTTTCCATTTATTGTGAAAATCCGCTTTGGTGAGTGACGCATAGGGTATCTACTAATTTGCCGAGTTACCAGCACCATTCATAACTGATAGTTACCCTCGATTATTTGTACAAATCCGCACTGTGTTTGTTTAGGAATCTTATCGGGCCAAGTACGTATGAGTAATTTGTAGCCTTATCACACATAGTGCAATGGCCAAAAAGCTTTCAGACTTCCTTCGTTCGTTTAGCATTGATATCAAATAAAATGCCAATAGAGAAAAAGCACAGAGACGCACAAAGTTAACGCTTGATAAGGAAATAACCTGCTTAACGATCAATTTCCAAGGCAGCTGTTGGTTTATTTTTGTGCCAGTGACGTCGACGTTGCCGTCGCTGGCGCCCCTATTCGCTAGTCAGCGGCGGGCCTGAACAATCTTAACAGCAATTTCCACTAGCGGTTTTCAATCTTTTATCCAGACCGAAAATGTTTTACTGTGTCACATTTCATACATTCAATCGTATATCATTAAATGGGGAGGTTTCTACATTGCATAGATACAGGGCAATAATTACTTAAACACGCACACAACTGTATACAGTGAAATCTCAACTAACACACAAATCCCTTGATTTTACGATTACAATTTTTAGTCCAAATTATATTCGAACAAATGAATGAAAAACATATTTGTGATTAAGTGACAGAAAAATCTTGAAAAATGTACAATTTCAGTTTTTTTAAGTTTGCTGAGGCTTTCCTTTTTATCACTATTTCCGAAGCAGGAACAAAATGGGAGTCCGGTCTAAAGGGCTTTCACTGTAATTGTATCTCATCCGGCATGTGTTGAATGTTTTGAATGTGTCTCCTTGACTACGCGCCATTCCCTTGCCAATAAGAATTTCTCGACTTTCAGCCCCTGCTCGTAGCAGTGACCGAAAGCCAAATGCGAAACAACTGAGAAAAACACAAAATGCGACAACGAGTGAGATAGCAACAACAACAAGAGCAACAGCAAAAAGAACTCGTAAAGTAGCAAAGGAAACACAAAAGAAAACGTATAAAAAGATACACCTAAAGCTTGACGAAGCTATGGCCAAAAAGCGACAGCGTCAACGTTCTCGCTCTCTTCCACTCGCCACTCTACTGAGAGAGTGGTGAGAGAGTGTTTAGCTTTTATGTGTGTGCCCGTGTGTGTGTGTGATATGAAGTCATACTGTTCTTGCTGTGTGTATGTCAAAAGCATAAAATTATTCGGAGACGGAGCAGGCAATCGAAAACTCTGACCACAGCCCAAAAAAAAAATAGCTTGTGTGTGAGCTAAACAACAGTTAATGGCGCGTTTGCCGTTGTTGCAATGGAATGAGACCACATACAACTAAATGGAAAATTAAAGCTCAAGTTGAAGTTTCCGTTACTTACGAGTAAGCTGTGCTCTAATTTTCAGTCGTTAATCCACAGGAAGCGTTGAATACTTTGCGGCGCTTTTCCACAATTACGTTTTCGTTTGTTTTCACTTTTCACAAACGCCTGGCAGATTTTAGTTGACTTCGCACATACGCAAATACACACACACACACAGCTGCACACCAAATACTTATAAGCAAATTCTTGGCCACTTTTTCTATTGAACACAAAAAAAGACAATTTGTTGTTGTCGTCGTCGTCGTTGAATACCTGTTGAAAATTGACGTTGAGTGAGTAATAGAGAATAGTAAAATAGAGAGTGAGCGCAGTAATTGGGTGGAAACTAGGCGTGGGTGTGTGAAATACTGAACTAAAGCGGTACAATAATTTAAGTTGTACTATTTTATTTATAAACACAAAATTGCGCGCGAATTTCTGCAACTGGCACACAGATGCATTGATTTTTTTTCTGGCAATTCTCTTGCCTGTTTTTATATTTTCCCTATTGGCCTGCGATGGCTAACGTACCGTGATAAAAATATTCGAAATGCTACGCACGAAGAGCAAACTGGTACTGAGATATATTTTTATATTGAAGCGGCAGAGTCACAGTCGCAAAGCAACCACTGCCTCACGGATTGAGTTAGTATAAAGAGAGTGAGAGAGAGAGAGAAAAAGAGCGCGCATGACGTCACAGCTACAAAACGTAAACGTAAGTGCCCACCTTCTTGTCTAGATGTCAACGCTCAATTGCTCAACTGTTGGGCATCGCTCACATTTTGTTTTCCTTATTTAAATTTGATCGTTATTATGGAAACAACTTTATTTAAACTTATATGAATAATACTTATACTAATTTTTCTACTGTTAAGTCTAACATAAAAATTTACAAAGATTGCGAGTTCGATTAAATGAGACCTCCGCAATCTCCTTCGCATTCCGACACCTCCAATTCTTCGTCTCTTAAAAAGGCGCCTAGCCAGTTTTGGAGCCTGTAGGTTTATGACGTCCCCGACTTTGGGCACGCCTACGTCTCTTTCAAAATCGGAAGTTCGCATGTTCCAGGGGAACTGTCTTGCGAGACAGCTTGCAGAGCGTTTTTGTTTGTAACACCCTGATATTCGCAAGACGGGATTTTGCAGCAAACAATTTTTAGTAAAATTATATATTTTATTTATTTGCACTTGTTTCATTCGTATATAGTATCTATTCAGATACAGAACCTCGAGGTTTCGAACTGATATAGACTTTCACAATTCAAAAAAAGGGAAAGTCATCTAGGATAGGACGTCATTTACTCCAGAGAATTTCTATCTTTCTTTAAGTTTATAACCACATAGATTCTAATTTTAAGAGAAGTTATTTAAATATATAAACTAGATTAAATAAACAAAAACTATTAAAGTGAAACAAGAGAAACAACAAAATTTTAAAAATAAATACTCCTGTTTTTTTATTTATTTGCGCTCCTCTTTTGGCAATCACAAAATTATGCTTGTTTATCAAATAGAAACAAATATGTTTCCTCTTAAGAGTATGCTGTGATATCTTTATGTACATGCACTGCTTGAAGTCATCGCATTGCTTAAACAGAAGCAAGCAGTGCAGCCGCTTTATTTTCACATATTAACGTATGTGATGACTTTTTTATTTACACAATCTCTATTAATTTTGCATTTGAAAGTATGCAATGATGTTTTGTAGATTTACATTTGAATTTAAAAAAAAAAAACGAGTTTTCGAAGTCCGATCGCGACAGGATTTGACGATTTTGATGCCAATCGAAGGTGAGCAGTACGATTACAAAAATGTATATCTTTTCAAAATCGGACCGTTTTTAGCCGAAATATCGCAAAAAAACAAAAAACTTCAAAAAAACGGCATCGTTTTTTCCCTTCCAAACGCTATCTTTTGTTTGAAATTTCAAGGTTCTTTCGAATAGTAAACGCCATCTATTGCATAAAAAAGCTAGCCTCACTGCGTTGTTTTGGGAAATCAGGAAATCGGGACGAGTCGAAAGATATCGGGCGAAAAATAGCGGATTTGAAGATTGTGCGTTTTGTAATCGTGGAGGTCCGATCGATTGGCATCAAACGTTTTCAATTCCAGGACCCAAGCCCATTTTAGAAAAAAACGTGAAATTATTAATTTTTTAACTACAATTTATTTAATGCATTTGCTACCGCTTGCGGTACAGGCAAGGCTTGAGCGAGAAGGGCTTCAGTTTGACTAGCTTGTCAACATGTTGCATTTTTCGAAATTGGAAGAAGTAGAAATAATTCACAGCCACATCCTTCTTGACCAGATCAAATCCGCAAGATTTCATGAAGCGCACGAATTCGCGGACATCCTCGAAGCGGGACTGAATCTCTGCAATGTAGACATTGCCGTGCAATTTGAGCACACGGTTTGCCTCTAGCAGATAATCGTTAAGGTTGGTGCCCATCAGCGAGAGGCAGTAGACAGCCACGTCCAGCGATTGCGGCTCCAGCGGCGTTTTGGTGATGTTGCAGGCAATGATGTCGGCTCGGGTCGACACCAAATCCATGGAGTACACCTTATTGGGCACTGATTGCGCCAGCAAGCCCTCGCCGCAGCCAAAGTCACCAATGATAGCCGTTTTGGAGAGCCTTTTGATAGTCTTGATGATGCGCGCCAACGGATTCGCGGGCCATTTGTCCACCTGCTGACGATAGCCGGCATGATAGGCTTCAAAGGCGTCGCCATCCGAGCGGAAAAGTTGCTCTGCCTTTTGGCTGTTCATCGTGTACAGCTGCTCGTTAATGTACCGAAATCGACCGCCCAGCAGCTCTGACTGCAGCTTATTGGCCAACGTGGGCGGCGGACCAGCCGCTGTGGTTGTGGGCGTCGCCTCCATGGCCTGGACTGCATCCTGTATTAAGGCTGGCTTCAGTGTCAGCTGCTTCTTTTTATCTTTGGCTGTTTTGGCTGCTGGGCGCTGCTTTTCAATGCGTCCGCTTCTGATCTTGTGCATGGCCCGCATCTCATCGTCTGCCTCATCATCCGAGGAATCCGGCGGCGGCGCCAGCGGTCCTCTGCCCACTCTATATCCCGTGGCTGTTGCCCGTGTAGAATCCGACTGATCCGCCGCCTGCTTCTTTGCCTTTGGTTTTTTTTTCTTCAGCTTTTTGGCCTTAGCCTTGGCAGCGGCTCCACTGCCCGCTTCCTGCACCGGTTTGAATTGGATGACTTCGGCACCCTTGTCCCACGGTGGCACCTCAAACCCCATTTTGTGACTTTTTATTTAAATTGTTTGGTTTATAAAAAAGAAATTGGGCAACACGTGAAATTGAATTGTTGTTGTCAGTGTGACCGTAGGCGGCTATAACAAAAATACGAAAAAAATGCGCAAAATAATGCCATAAAACGTCTCCTGTTTAAACGTGCTGACAACTCGACGCAAAGCGCGCGCATTTGAAGAAAATCAAATCTCTTTTTAAATAATTTTTATTTTTGCACTAAACTAAAGTTCAACAAGTTTTTGTATTAATTTATAATTTTCGGTTTCTCGCTATTCACGTACAACTAATTAACTTAAAGCATTAATTTTTTTAACTGATGAAAAAAGTGTGTGCTCGGAAATTGATTTTTTCTTAGTTTAAAATCGTAATTATGACAATCAGTTTTCAACGTACAACTAATACAGGCGCCATTTGAAGGTCTTAACAATTTATTGTAAATTGTTTTTCAAATGTGTTTTTTTTGTTGTTGTTTATTATTAAGAAAATGCTTAATCTATTTTGTTTCCCAACAAACCTTATGCGCGCTCCATCCATTCAATTTTCACATTTATTAGATTTATCTTGTCGGTTTTCAGACGACTTTTTAATGCAGTTCCGCTTTACATTACCAACTACAAAACACTTGCGATTTACAATTGCTAAAAACTATGAAATTTCTGTTAGTTTCTAGTAATATTACGACAATAATTACGCGCTTTACCTCTACTTGCCAACTTTGACTCTTTAGCTGCTTCAATCTTCTTTTCCGGATCTCTCGAAACTAAAAACTAAATTTCTTTTCCTTTGTGATCGTTACACAAATTTTGTTCTCTCTCTCTAAAATGAATTGTTATGCATAATACCAAAAAAGTTAGGCATACAAAATTTAAAGCATTTCGGTTTATCTCTTTGTAATACAAAAATATAATTACAACGGAATAGGGTAGACTGTGCGGCTTAACTCGTTTAATACATTTAACTACATTCCTAGAGATTTTGGCAAAGAATGGAAAAAATGGGGGTGGGGGGAGACTAAGAATCTCTTTTAGAATTAATTAAATGCGCTCTAAGTAGCTCTCAAAATTGTAGTTTCGTATGCTCGATTTGTATTTAATTTAGCTTACGGTCTACGAGTAATTCAATTACAGTTAGTAGTTGACGCCGCCCGACGACAGCTGCTGCTCGCTTGCATCTCAAATTTATTGTGTGTGTGTATCTTGTATTATATATGTATATATTTATAATATAACAAGTAGCGCCGCCTAGTAACTGGCCTCGTGACCGGCTAAGATGTACAGATCGTGCCCCTCCTCGCTGCCCAGCGAGCCGGTGCGCAGTAGTTGACTCTCCAAGGCGACGACCCTGGCAACGAAAACGAGATAGATTCATATATTAAACACTAGTTGCTATTGTCGGGCTTAGTCCTGCTCATGTTATATTATCCTGTCATACTTGAACTTCTCCTCAGTTGAGTGAATTTTTAATGAATATTCATGAACTTCTTATGTAGAGATTTGCAAAAAAGGTTTAAAAAGAATCGGTCGAAAACCCAAATACACAAATGGAACTCCAATGTCTGCCCGAGAAGGGAGAATATTCCGAAAACGGATTGAATAACAAACTAAAAGGATACAACTGATTTATAGCCAATATCTAGTCTTAATTTACCAATGCGTCACTCAGTCAGATTGAAAGTTTTCTATATGTAAATAGAAAGGTAGATCCTGGCGATGTGCTTGAGATACTTACTTATCGCTGCCCAGCAGCCGATAGGTTCGACTCATGTCCTTGATCTCTTGCGTCACTTCACCATTGCGCAGAGACTTGCCCTGCATGCCGTGCTTGTGGAATGCTAATACACTGTCCGGTAGACAAACTACAAAAAAAGCACAGATATATTGTTGGGATAAGGAGAGCGAGAGAGAGAGAGAGAGAGAGAGAGAGAGAGAGAGAGAGATTGGCATACCAATACTGTCCACGTTAAAGTCGAAATTGAGTTGGGCGACCATCTTTTTGTGCTGCTTGGGATTGCCCTGCAGGGTGACCACCTGCATCACATTGCCATAGCAGACAAGAATGGCATCCTTTTCAACCTGATGAACGCGCACCACCTTCAAGAGATCACGACGAGGCACCATTGTGGCCATGGCATCATACTCCAAGTCCTCCGAATGGAACCAGCTGGCACCTGAAACATGGAACGAAACGTTAGTTAACTGATGCCTCAGTGCATCTCGTGCTGACTTCCACTGTTCATGTTGATCAGCTCCAACTTGAGGCATCCGTTGAGGGCCTTTCGGACGCCCGTGCAGACAATCGGATACTCCAGCTCGGGCGTGATGATCATTTCAAATACGGGCGTATG